ATCAAATCTGAAGCTTAGTTTTGTTGGATATAGTATTTTTGCTTGGCATTCTTTTTCTTTCAGGCCTTGGTATATATTATCTAAGACCTCCTAGCTTTGAGGGTTTGGGTTGAGAATTCAGCTGCTATTAGAATTGGTTTCCTTCTAAATGTGTCCTGTCAGTTTTCTCTAGCAGCCTTTAAATTTTTATCATTATTCTGTTCTGGCATTTCCATTAAAATATACCTTGGTGTAGGTCTGTTGTAATTTTGTGTATTTGGAGTACTGTATTTGATTTCCACTTCATTATTAAGTTTGGGGAAATTTTCAGATATTATTTCATTGAAAAGATTGTACATTCCTTTGGTTTGTATCTCAGAGCCTTCATCTATCCCTATAAACCTTAAATTTGGTCTTTTCATGTTATCCCATCTTTCTTGGAAGTTTGTGTTCTCTTGACATCTTTTCTCCGTGGTCAACTTTATTTTCAAGATTATATATTTTATCTTCTTTGCCTGGAACTCTGTTTCAAGTGATCTAGCCTGCTGGTGATGCTTTCCATTGAGTTTTAAATTTTGTTTATTTGATTCCTTCTTTTAAAATTTTCTGATTGATTTTTCAGGATTTCTATCTACTTATTTAGACGGTCTTTCACTTCTTGGATTTTCTTTCTAATTTCATTCCTTACATTGTCTTTTAATTCACAGATCAGTTTAACTATGAACTTTTTCAATTCCTTCTATGTCATTTCCTCCACTTTAATGTCATTGGATTCTATTATGAGGTATTTTGGCTTCTTTGGGATAGTTTGTTCCCTTTGCTTTTTTTATGTTGTTTGTATATATACCAATTTATCAGTTAGAATCTTGAGGTGGCAAAGCTTCTATTGTATGAGTTTACATTGTTTTTGAAGTTTTCTAGTACCTCATGCTTTCGTGGTAGACAAATAACAACAACCAATGCAATTAATATTCAACATTGAACTAAATACTTAGTTCCTATTTTGGCATCTCCAATGTTAATTGGCAGTATAAAGAGAAAGGGTATGTAGGCAATTGCTGACAGTATAAATATTGTGTTCATAAAAGAGTTTGCCATTTCAAAAATGTGAAGAGGGAGAATGCAGAGAAGATTTAGGATGTAATAATTGATAGCATGAGGGAGGGAGGGAGGGAGGGAGGGAGAGAGAGAGAGAGAGAGAGAGAGAGAAGAATTAAAAGATCAGTGAAAAAGAGAACAAAAAAAAATTTGGCTGTTAGCAAAAGACAAGAGAGGAAGAGAATCAAGGGAAATAAGAGAAAAAGAATATAAGACAAAAAATATAAACCAAAACTAAGGTATACCTATAAAAACCACTAGTCCCCAAAAGACAGAGTCAAAAAAATAACTATCTTCAAGAAATGTTAGAAATAAGAGTGAGACAAATATGTATATATTTAAATGTCCATGACCACTCAGCACACAAAAGTTAAAAATGTTCTTGATGGAAGATTAATGTATTGTTTCTGCAGTGATGGTAAAAAGTTGTCTATAATATTATATGTTGCTTGTCAGTTCCCAATTGCCTGTCTTTCCATTTTTTCTAGAGGCATGCATTGTGCACAAAAGTAGTAGTTGCTGGCTGTCAGTTTTTTCCTTTTTGTGGAACTTCTTATTGTTGCCTGTTCTCAGCTTCCCTTCTCAGCAGTATGAGGTGTGTTGTGTTGGAGGGTATCATCTACTCCACTCATAGTGAGGTGCAAGTGTAGAGTTCTGTGAAAGGAGTTCCCAGAGGTGGTGCTGTTTGGGTCTAGCTAGATCCCCAGTGCTTTGTGGAATGATATTTGGTGAAGCTTTTAAATCAGTACCCCTCCGGAACCTGGCTGCTTCCAGTCTACACAGGTGTCTGTACTGCTTGACTCCCCCTTGGGTTCTACCTGAGCAGTGGAGGAGCCAGTCCTTTGCCCTCCTATACCTCCCATGGCTCCTGTATCTTGGCCATTCGGTTGAGTCCCAAGTGCACATTTCCTCTCTCACTAGATTAAGTCCCTAGTCATCCCAGCTGGTCCTGTGAACTGCAAGACTCAAAGTGTAACAGACACCCAGGATCTCTCAGGTCTGAGTGTCTCAAATTCCTTTGAGTACAACATTGTTCATGCCAGAATTTCACCTGTTTTTCTAGTCAAACTCTGGGTCCTTTGATAGGACTTTGTCAGGTCAGGTTTTTGGACCCATCTGGAATTACACAGGTCTAGGCACTTGGGTTTCGACCTACACTAGCCAGCCACCATAGCATGATGAAAAAAGATGATGGCTGATCCCACTCTTTGCAGGTCACTGGGAGATGTGCAGCGTCCTTCTCATATGAAAGCAAAGTGCAGTCATCCACTGGATCAGCTCAACAATGTACTGGATTATCATCCTGTGTTTTAAGACACACCTCAGTGCCACTTGGAATGTGGGCTCTCTTAGTCTCTCTCTCTCTGACCTGCCTGCAATGGATCTGCATTGGCAGCCAGTGGTGCTAGTGTTGTATTATTTTCTTTTGCTTTATTCTATCAAAACTTCTGTGTCCTGGGCTGGGGATGTGGCTCAAGCAGTAGCACGCTCGCCTGGCATGCGTGCAGCCCGGATTTGATCCTCAGCACCACATACAAACAAAGATGTTGTGTCTGCCGAGAACTAAAGAATAAATATTAAAATTCTCTCTCTCTCTTTCTAAAAAAAAAAAAAAACAACTTCTGTGTCCCTAGGCCATTCTAAGAGTCCAGTATTAAATTCCAGTAGGATTTCTTTCTTTTTTCCTTCCTTCCTTCCTTCCTTCCTTCCTTCCTTCCTTCCTTCCTTCCTTCCTTCCTTCCTTCCTTCCTTCCTTTCTTTCTTTTCTTTTCTTTTCTTTCAACTGATCTCAAAGAGAAGCTGTTTGTACTCTTTCCTGGTCCCAAGCCATGGAGTAATTTGGAAAGTAACCTTCTCTATTCCACCATCTTGACCTTTCAGAATTAAAAAAATAATTTAAAAAACTGTTGTCATAACATAGTCTATAGGAAAACATTTCTCTCTTTAGGAGTGCTGGAAAACTTACTAATGTTAGCACCCTGAACAGAGCAGCTTGGGTATATTGGGTGCATCTGTAGTTCTTTTACCATCACATGGCTCCTTTTCTGCTTAGGCAATGCTGAAGACCAATTTGTTGAGAAATGTCTTCGTGGCTGCTAAGTAGGCCAGAGTTTCCTGAGACAATTTTCCTGTGTGTGTGTGTGTGTGTGTGTGTGTATGTGTGTGTTTATATGTGAATAAAGAAAAAGTTGGCCATGTTGGTCTTATTTAATGTACATTGGTTGCCCATTTGCTGGTGGCTCTTCATAAATCTACTTATAATAGTGACCTGTAATTTCAGAAAAAAACATAGTGTCACCAGTTATGAGAGGTTTTCTTCTGGCATTTGAGAACCTACAAATTCAGTTATATCTTGTGTGCTTTTCCCATAATATTCATCAAAAATCTTCTGCCTTGGCTTCTTACTACTGCACAGTGCTTTGTGGAATGATGTTTGGTGAAGCTTTTAAATAAGCACCCCTCTGGAACCTGGCTGCTTCCAGTCCACACTGGGTGTCTGTACTACTTGAATCTCCCTTCAGTTCTACTTGAGCTGTGGCAAGGGTTGATAGGAGGTCTGACAATTTGGGTCCAAAGACAAGTTCAACTCAGAGCATATTCCTTCTTTGCTCCCAAACCTGAGTTAATACTGTTTCTCTTATCTAAATTCATCTCCCCTCTCTGTTCTCCTCCAATGTCTAGCTTACTCCCAAATTATTCCAACCCTACCCTGAATATCTGGGTACTACATCTGTCTATTTCATATGTTCTGTGCAGTTACTGAAAGTGTATTCTATTTCCTATGATAGTGCTAAAAGTGGTCCTTGCCCAGGGACTGATCATATGGGTTTTGTTGTGTGGCATCTTTGACCACAATTATATTGCAGTAGAGACTGCATCTTCCTCTATGGGTATGGAGACTGTATATAATGGGTATATAATAGGTACTCAGTAAATGCTTTCTTTATAAAATTTGTGACCACCTAAATAGCATGAAAGGAAATGGAGACTGGCAAATGACAGCTAGATTGATTGGAGCCAGACCACAACTATAAGTTCAAAATGGATTTTTATTTGGGGCATCCAGTATGAAATTGCCTTCTTTTGTGAAACATGGAAGTCTCAACCAAATTCCAAAGCCACAAACCAGTTCAGTCCCTACCCTGTACTGAAATAGCTGATTAGAAAAAAAGTGTTTTTACAGAGGGTTAAAAAGGCAGAGACAGAAGAAGTACTCCAGGGTCTTATACTCCAGCTCTATTCTGTCAGAATTGGTGCTTGTCCATTCAAGGGATCTCTGTTCATCTTTGAGTCTTAAGCATAGCAGGCAATGTGATGGAGAAGGGAGATGACTGAGAACAGGATTCTATAGCTGGAAAAATAGAAAAGAACTTCTTCCTACCCAGCTTTGGGGTCTATGTGGCTGATTCAAGGGGCAAGGGTTGATAGGAGGTCTGGCAGTTTGGGTCCAAAGACAGGTTCAACTCAGAGCATATAAGTGGATATGCCAATGTTCCCCAGAGCAAAGTTCTGTAGGTTTCCTATTAAAAGCCTTAGAGTTTATTGCAGCCACATGACATTGCTGTTTTAGCACAAAAACACTCAGACTCCCTTATATTAAACTCATGAGCATGGCTATGTTCCAAGAAAACTATTTATGGACACTGAAATTTAAATTTCATTTAATTTAACATTTCGAAAAATAGTGTCATTCTTTAGAATTTTAAACCATTTTTAATCATTCAAAAATATGGGAAAAATGTTCATGGCTTATGGGTCATGAAAAAGTGGTGACAGGCTGAATTTAGCCCACCAAATATAGTTTACTGATTATTGCTCTTAAGAAGTAGCAAATGGACCACCTTAATTAACATTATTCTGTTTTCCAAAAGTCTGATTTGGATCTTTTAACTCTAACCTTAGTCTGTTTGCTTGCATTCCAGATGGGTGCATCCCCTTTTTGCCAGTAACAACAACAGTGGCCTGGTTGGTACAGTAGCAGCTTCAATAAGTGCCTTGGCAGCATTTGAATGGAATGTAAGTGACAACATATACTGTTGCCTTTAAATCAAACCCATATCCAGAAATTTCATAAAATCATTTCTCAGGTTTTTCTGGGACTCTGTATAGGACGTATTTCTCTTTGGTTTGACTTTTATTTTTCCTTATCCTAGTAAGCTTTCTGTTTCAACTTCAACACCTCCATTCCAGTCACATTATTATTCACCTAATGTGAGTTTTCTCAAGCAGTTATTCCCACTAGGCAGGAGGATGGTGAGTTCAAAGCCAGCCTCAGCAAAAGTGAGGTGCTAAGCAACTCAGTGAGACCCTGTCTCTAAATAAAATAGGGCTGGGGATGTGGTTTAGTGGTTGAGTGTCCCTGAGTTCACTCCCTGGTACCACCTCCCTCGAAATCTAATTTCTGAGGTGAAGGGCCGTTGGTAGAGGGCTGTGGCCTTGGGGTTGTTGTGTCACTCAGTTCTGAAGGGGCTCCTTGGGTATCTGGTGAGTTCTGCTAGCGTTTGACCTTCTCTTCCCAGACCCCACACCAGCAGCGACCCTGAGCCGACACCCAGAAAGACCGGCAATAGTGGCCTCCACCGCCTCACACCCACCCATCAAGGGGATCCTGAAGAACAAGACGTCTGCGACTTCCTCAGTGGTGTCCTCGGTGGAGCAGCCCCACCGGAGTGTTGAAGAGGAGTTGAGTAAAAAATCCCAGAAGTGGGATGAAATGAACATCCTGGCAACATATCACCCAGCAGGCAAAGACTATGGTTTAATGAAAATAGATGAACCAAGCACTCCTTACCATAGTATGATGAGTGATGATGAAGATGCATATAGTGATACAGAAACCACTGAAGCCATGACTCCAGATGTTCTAGCTAAGAAATTAACTGCTGTTGAAGGCTCAGAACCAAAGTATCGGACTCGGGAAAAAAAAGGCAGAGTCGAGGAGAAAAATGACTTCTCACTTGAAGAACAAGAAAAAAAGCGACAATTTGAATTGAGGAGGAAGCTTCACTACAACGAAGGACTGAATATTAAATTAGCTAGACAACTAATTGCAAAAGATCTACACGATGATGAAGATGAAATGTTAGAGGCAGACACTGAACAATCAAAACAAGGATCTACTACAAGTGGCCAACAGCAAAACAAATCACAAAATTTGTAGAAGAGATTTGTTCAACATTGCAGTTGTTTGTCAAATACAAACCCTATTCACTATAACATGCAGCTTCTTGTTCTCCACAATTCATGACTTAAGTACCAAAATACATTCCAGTTATTTTATATTGACAAGAATTAAATGATAACCTTAGAGACTGATTAGACTAAAGATGCCTAATTAATGCATATACAGTGTAATGTCATCAGTCTAAAACTGCTTTACTTTAAGAACACTGATTAATTTGTATAGGACATTATATAACTTTTTATGCTTTAGAAGTTAAACAACATCTAGGGGGAGGGGGAAGGGGAACTAATTTATTTTCATCACTTCTAGATGTGATACCTCTTATAAAAAGTTTTTTTT